AAAATTTAATTTGTATTTAATTATTAGGAACAATAAATTAGTAAAGATTTGTAGCTTATGTTGAGATATTTCCCTTATGTCAACTGAAATTCGATTAAGCGTCTGCACTAACGTGAATTTGGCCATAACAGTATAAAATATAAGTTTGATAATTAATAGAAAATTATTTCCTACTTACAATCGAATTCAATAAAAATCATTGCCTAAACAATTATTTTGAAATTCTTTATTTCATTTTGAAGTTAGCGCTGATATAAGTATCAAACTTTGTAATTAAATGTCCATCAACCAATTATTACTATATAATTAATCTGATGTCTTGATACTATTACCTACGTTTTCTATCGAGTACACATTTTATCATAACTCGATGTTTGAAAGCATACTGTATGGTCTTTCGAAATAAAACAGGTAATTCTATTTAATATAGATGAAATGGAATTATTAGTCAGAACAGACTACAAATTAGGTGATGCATTATTTGACAATAATTTATAAAATAAAAGTAAGTCTGAAGTGTCATCAGCAACCAATCTATTGATATTTTCTTCTTTATCGTTATAAGTTGTTATGTTTCTGTAATAACTGGCTAGAACCTTGATTAAAAGCTTATTGATTCGACTTACAACTAATCATAATAGAATATATGAAGAAAAATAAAATAACGTGAATATCCTTGAACGACAACCATAGAGTACAATGAAGTCATATACTCACTAGTAACTTTTATTATCCTATAATAAAAATACTTTACAACTAGGAAACTTAAAATACGGAATTCCTGTTTTAAAAACATAAACTAGCTATTGAATATTATCCACCAATGATAGCAACGACGACATTAAAGATCAGTTCTATGAGCGGCTACAATCAATCATAGAGAAAGGCCTAAGAAAGAACCTCACCATTCTGATGGGAGATCTAAACGTCAAAGTCGAAATAGACAACACCGGATATAAAGATATTATGGGACGACATGGACTGCGAGAGATAGATGAAAGTGGGGAAATATTTGCAAATCTGTGTGCGTTCAAAAAATCGGTCATAGGCGGCACAATATTTCCAATCAAACGTATACACAAAGTTACATGGACCTCACCGGACCACACTACAGAGAACCAGATAGATCATATCTGCATCAATAAAAAATTCCGAAGGACAATGGAAGATGTGGGAACCAGGAGAGGGGCTGACATAACATCAGATCACCACCTAGTTGTGGCCAATTTAAAACTGAAGCTAAAGAAGAACTGGACAAGCGGACAAACAGCACTACAAAGGTTCAATACAGCCTTCCTTCGAGATACTGACAAACTCAATGAATTCAAGATAGCTCTCAACAACAGGTTCCAAGCCTTACAGGATCTACTAAAGGAAGAAGAAACTACTATGGAGGACAACTGGAAAGGCATCAAAGAAGCATTAACTTCAACGTGTCAAGAGGTTCTGGGTCTAAAGAAACACCATCATAAGGAATGGATCTCTATAGAAACACTGGACAAGATCAAAGAAAGGAAGAACAAGAAGACAGCAATTAACAACAGCCGAACACGAACAGAGAAAGTCCAAGCACAAGCTGAGTACATAGAGGCAAACAAGCAAGTGAAGAAGAGCATTAGAGCCGACAAGAAGAAGTACGTGGAAGAACTAGCAACAACGGAGGAAAAAGCTGCAAGAGAAGGAAATATGAAACAGATCTACGATACAACGAAGAAACTAGCAGGGAAATATAGTAAACCAGAGAGACCGGTGAAGGACAAAGAAGGCAGGCCAATAACTGAAATTCAACAACAGCGTAACAGATGGGTAGAGTAATTCGGGGAACTCCTGAATAGGCCGACTTCAATGAATCCACTGGACATCGAAGCAGCACACACACATCTTCCTATAGATGTCAATCCACCAACGAACGAAGAAATTAGAATGGCCGTCAGACAAATCAAGAACGGGAAAGCAGCAGGACCCGACAATATACCAGCTTAAGCACTGAAATAACTACAAAAATGCTTCACATTCTATTCAAAAAGATTTGGGAGGAGGAACAAGTGCCGATGGACTGAAAAGAAAGACACCTCATTGAGATTCCAAAGAAAGGAGATCTAAGCAAATGTGAAAACTACAGAGGCGTTACACTACTGCCGATACCAGGAAAAGTCTTCAACAGAGTGTTGCTGAACCGGATGAAGGATGCAGTAGACGCCCAACTTCGAGATCAACAAGCTGGATTCCGTAAGAATCGGTCGTGCACAGACCAAATTGCAACACTACGGATCATCGTCGAACAATCAGTTGAGTGGAACTCGTCACTATACATCAACTTCATTGATTATGAAAAGGCATTTGACAGTGTAGATAGGAGGACATTATGGAAACTTCTTCGACACTACGGAGTTCTTGAGAAGATTGTCAACATTATCCAGAACTCATACGACGGACTACAGTGCAAGGTCGTGCATGGAGGACAGCTGACAGACGCATTCCAAGTAAGGACCGGAGTCAGACAAGGCTGTCTACTCTCTCCCTTCCTCTTTCTTCTGGTGGTCGACTGGATTATGAAGACCTTGACATCTGAGGGAAAACGCGGAATACAATGGACAGCTCAGAATCAATTAGACGATTTGGACTTCACAGATGACCTAGCCCTCCTATCGCATACACATGAACAAATCCAGATAAAGATAGCCAGTGTAGCAGCAGTCTCTGCATCAGTAGGCCTCAACATGCACAAGGGGGAAACCAAGGTCCTCAAATACAACACGGAGAACAGCAATCCAATCACTCTTGATGGCGAAACTCTGGAAGATGTAGAATCCTCCACATACCTGGGAAGCATCATCGATGAACAAGAAGGTTCAGATGCAGACGTAAAGGTGAGAATTAGCAAAGCACGGGACCGCATTCCTACAATTGAAGAACATATGGAACTCAAAAAAACTTTCAACCAATATCAAAGTCAGAGTCTTCAATACGAACGTCAAGGCAGTTCTACTGTACGGGGCTGAAACTTGGAGAACTACAACAACCACCATCAAGAAGGTACAAGTACTTATAAATGGTTGTCTACGCAAGATACCATCAGTAACAGCCTTCTGTGGGAGAGAACAAACCAGCTCCCAGCTGAAGAAATTAGGAAAAGACGATGGAAATGAATAGAACATACATTACACAAACCATCAAACTGCATCACGAGGCAAGCCCTAACTTGGGATCCTAAAGGAAAACGGAAAAGAGGAAGGCCAAAGAACACATTACGTCAGGAAATAGAAGCAGATATGAAAAGGATGAGTAACAACGGGAAGGAGCTGGAACGGATTGCCCAAGACAGGGTTGGATGGAGAATGCTAGTGAGCGGCCTATGCTCCTTCACAAGGAGTAACAGGCGTAAGTAAGTAATTACTGCTACTATGACAGCTACGCATACTATTACTACTACGAACACAACGACTACTACTAGTATGACTACCAGGTCCACGACGATTGCCACGAAATCGACTACTACACCTACTCCTTCTGCTACAACTAATACTATAACTATTGCTCAGGCTACTAAGACTGCTACGCCTACTACCAATACTATTACCACTAATATTACCACAACTACTGTTAATACAAAAATTGTGGAGTTCTATCCAATAATCAATTATGGACAAAAAGAATAAATGAAAATGTTTTTCACCAGTGATTTCTCTCCTTACCACTATATATATATATTACCAGTGAAGCAGTTTCCTTGTTAACCAAGGTCAACTTGTATACTAAATATGATTCCGTCCAATTCATTAGGTCATTTTATCAATGAATGAAAAACAAAAACCCACTATCCAAAATAATTGTAAATATAGACATTAGATAAATGGAGAAAAAACCGTAAATTTCAAAACTATGCTGGGAATCATGTATTCTAATTCACTAATGATCAATAATTAGTCGAGTCCTGAGTAAACTTTAAAATGGAAGGCGGTGGTTAGGCGAAGATTATAGACATAAGTCCCGTACTAGTTGGTATTTTGTTACAAAGCCATATTTGGGATTTTGAAAGAACTAATGTCCCATGTAGGGTTTGAACCAATGTCTATGCAAATCACTTATCAAATATGAGGTCAAAATAAGTTCAAGAATTAAATAAGAAAGTATAAATTGGATTGTGACCAGTAGTGGAATCTAGGAGATGCGTTTATTTCTAAATAGGACCCTTCGGCTGGATTCACCTATAGCTCACTATTGATGTTCGTCCATATTGAGACGCGAACCCAGTTTTTAACATTGAAGAAATGAGAAAATGTCAACCCTTACAAAAAACATTCATACTCGTTGTGCAAGGCAGTAGTATTTGAATTAGGTATGGAGATATATCCAACTTCTTGTAGGATTTAATTTGTCCTACAGATTTACTACTAGAACCGTAAACGCGATACTGGGGAGCACAGAGTCTATGTGAAAGCTATAATCGGAACAAGGACAACTTGGCTTTAAACTTTGTCTGTTTCTGAACGTAAAAACAATTAGATTAGTACAATAATTACGGAAATTACAGTTATTAAGTGAAACGCACAAACATACCAACCAGTATTACGTGTCTTATCGAAATGAGTAAAATTATGAGTCACATTAATATAATAGGATAATAATGTCTCTCAATTGGTAGGTCACATGCAACAGGGCAGTTTACAGACACATCAGACCAGATCGACGTGGTGGTTGCTTAAACAACGATTTAATTGCTTAGTTATGGACATAACTAACACCTATGATTCCCAAAGAAAATGAAATAAACCTTTTGGATTTCTCTCCTAGCCGCTATTTAACTATAGAAAAACTTAGAACTAAATGGCAATACTGAAGCGATCTGTTCAGAGTGATACATGCACTAGTGAAGAATTATGAAATCAGTCCTTATTATCAAAAAGGAAAAAAAAACTCAAGCCTATATATGTATATACATAATGTATAAATTATGATATGAAAAAAAAGTAACATGAAAGGTTGAGGAAATATACATACTAAGAGATTGAAGCACTTAATAATGGAATGGGTGGTTTGTGAGCGATAATACAATCATATGTTTCATTTAAATTGAATTTTGTTTGTTGTTTTAACCATTCAATTTGATTAAATCCACATGTTTCTAATGCCATCACATAAATTAAGGGATCAGGATTACCATATTGAAACCATCCGCGTTGATGTAAATCAATTAATTGATTTATTTGAAAAGTAGTTACAAGACGTCCATTAGGACGTAGAACTCTCCAAATTTTTTGTAAGCAACATGTTAACGAAGGCCAGAAGTAAAAACAATTCACATGAAAACAAGCATTGATTGAGGAAGGTGGATAATGCAGATGATCTACACTTCTTAATTGTAAGTCAATGCAATCAGTTTTAGTAAGAGGCCATAGTTTCCTGAAACAATTAATTAGAATTAACACGTAAATGATATAACATTAGAAAAATACTAATCTAAGAGTTTATAAATTTTATATTTTGATAGTAATTAAGTTCATCCGTCATATATAGATACCAATCTACCAATTTACATTATGGACTGATTGTTGTTAGACAATCATAAAGCATTGGACAGCTGTTTCACTCTTGTACGGAATTCTTCAACAATGCGTATCCACGATCCCCATCAAAGATAGAATACGCAGGACAATTTTCAGCAATTCCAATGAGTGATGATTGTGTATTATGGCAAACTGATGGAAGTTACTGGGACAAAAGAGATGTTTGGTGCTTCCTGTTTTTCAATGATTGTCTTGCTAAGATCAGTCTGTTGATGTAAACTATGAAACTTAACAATTTCTACAAACATTCTGCAGTAACCTAAAATAAATTTTATTAGTTATAAAACTTTCACTTAATTAGGCAATAGAAATACAGCTGAATAGTGACAGAATACTTTTATGGGTGAGATTTGGATATAACCATTTTATTTAAACCAACTATTTAAGAATGACTTCTGCGTTTGATACTAATATTTATCTCACGGTTGATCAGTATTACCCGTTATTCGTTAATATTGATTAACCTTCATGATACTAGACCAGGGATATATTGATCAGAGCACTAGACCTTCAACCATTGAAATTCAGATTCTAACCATATTTCTCAACGTGAATATGTAGTTCAAAAACTATTATATAAACACATAATCAGTAAAACAGTTGCATTATCTTTACTGTCATTAGTATTTAAACGCTATGATATGGTGGTGAAATTATTCATCTTGTTGTGGATGCGGAGGAATAGACCAATAATTATCATGTTAAGTCCAATGGTGTCCTTGGACCTTAAATAGATACTTCCTATTGGTCGATATCTGTTAACTTGTTGAATATTGTACAAAATGTTGTTTTCTATTTTATGGTACGATGTGGTATGCTTGATTAGTATATAAATAGAGTATGTTTGAAATATAATGATTCATATCTCCGAGGCTGTGGCTTGTGTTCTGGACTCAACTAACTGGGCTAGACAGGGAAGTGGGACCAATCGAGACTCTAGGCCGTCCGTACGTGTTTGCCTGTCACTGTGATCGATCGATAACACAGGGTAAAAATCAACCGCAACATTAAAGTCATAACACATCTCATCAAGGATATTGAATATTTGATAAGAAATAACACATACTTAATTGTACATTTAGGAATATTCGTATTGAACTGATCATTTCAGAAGAGCATCTATCTATTATGCAGCATGTAGATTAACAATCATTAGATTGTGTTAACAGTATTTCTGATTGAACTGGACCTTAAATATTTGTTCCGTCAAATGTGAATTGTGGTCAGTCAGTTAGCTACAACATAGGACCAGGCACATATATGCATCGGTCCAGGTTGCCATACCTCATTAGCACAGCAAGATGAACACCGGATTCATAGGAGTGGTTAGGTCAAAGATGGTATTATATAGGAGAAAGATTGCACATAAGGATACAGTACAGGAAGAAAGAATTAGTTAGTAGAAAGAAAGATATGAAGTGATTTTAATCTCTTGGTTTAAGGGAAGACAGGGAGTGTATGCACCGACGCCATTGTGATCGATTCTGAGCCATGTCACCACGAGTCTCCAAAAATCGGTTGGGAAAGTCACGCCGACCCCAACCAAGTAGTCTGCATCTACCAACATGGCTCAGACTAGAGGTTAGTGTCTTCAAGCACTGATGCCATGTTTTGGTTTGGCCGCCCCTAATTCTCTTCCAACCATCTCTAACACCCATTAGCATTGCACGACGTGGTAGTCGGTGTTCAGGCATACGTAACACGTGGCCCAACCATCTCAGTCGATGAACTGTGGTCATGTGATACAATCAGTGAGATTTATGTTGTCTAATTAGAAATTTACAGAATACTAAAATCAGACTGTACTAACCTAACAATCCTTTAGATGCAACACAAAGAAATATATATATCTATATATCTATATCTATATCTATATCTATATCTATATCTATATCTATATCTATATCTATTATCTATTATCTATATCTATATATATATATATATATATATATATATATATATATATATATATATATATATATATGTTTTAAATAGAGGTATTACGGTAAGATTTATGAGCTTGAATGTTTTAATAATGTCTATCGGAATATATAAGTTTTCATTACAAACCGAACCTAGTCAAATAATCACTATAAACCAGCAAGCAATAGATAGCTAATACATCCTAATACGTGGGCCACTGTCCCTAAGCTGTAAAGCACCCAGTACACTACCAGGAATCGAATTGAGAACCCTTAGTTCATGTGATGAGTGTTTAATTTTTTCGAACCACTGATTCGGTAAATAATAGTTAGTATTTCTGAGTAATCGAACAGAACGATCATCAAATAATGATCAACTTGTCTTTCACAAAATGCGCATAATGTAAACATAGTTACAAAATAAATTATGTATTCAAATATGTAGTAGACTTTTAAGTATAACATGACAGTACTGATGATGTATAGTAATGCTAATGAACAATTTATACGGTAAGAAATCAGAAAACCTAGTGTATAGATAAGTATCTTGTATCAGTTCCAACTAATTGATTATGTAGTATCTCAATGATAATATACACATAGAGATTAATAAATTAAATTCACCTTTTTGCTTTTTGTAGCATATATTCAGAAATTTCAACACCATAAACATGACCATCATTTTTAAATGTATTGGATTTAATAGTTGATGTTGAAAAAGCATTTTCTAGTATAAATTTAATTCGTGAAGATTTCCAATGGTTAATTGTAACAGGAGCAACGCATTCAGCAGCTAATCTAATACCATAACCTTGTCCAAATCCAATTTCTAATACATCATCACCAGGTCTTAAGAAAATTAGAATTGAATAATTTGTGTAATCATACAACACTAATTTTATTTATAATAAATTACGTTGAAAATTTTAAAGTAGAAAGTTTATTTATTTATTTTCTAATATAGGAATCATGAACTGATTCTCACACAAAGGATTGTACACCGCTGAAGTGTGTCATACTAGGACGAAACGACTTCTCAATGCTTTCAGGTTTTCATTAGTGGTTTAACTTAGATCAGTTCATGATTTCTATAAAATTCAAGCAATTTTCACACCCTAATAATAAATTTTCTAGTCAAGTTGAATTGTGCCTAGTAGTGAGATGGGATTGAACAGATGAATATATTTGTATTACAGTGATGATGTTTACATCGGAACTTAAACCCAGTACCTTTTGCTTCAAACGTTCAATCAGTCATCTACTAAGCTCAAATCCTTACTAATAGTGATATAAACATCATACCGACTGAATAAGTTAGTAATTATCAGAACTAAGTAACTCAATGGATAAGGCGCTACCATTTGCTGCGTAATATATTAGGTACAAATCATCATGTGAACACAGACATTGGGATACATGGACGTAAAGTCGATGATTCCCAAGTAGGGCGAAACGGACATTCTGCGGTTCACTGTTGGTCACAACCCAAGTTTACTAGAACTTGAGGCCAAATGGTTATACCGAGGTAATCTGCTCAGGATTCACATACTCCACCAGAGACGAACCAACTGTAGTCCTGAATAACAACAATAGGAAGCTACAAACCCATACTAAGAAAATTAACATGTTAGTAGGTGTTTGCTGATACTATCGGGCAGTAAGCATTAGAAATAAATGACTCGACATTTAACCAACACATTACATGTTCAGACATCATTCTAACCAGTTTTAAGCATACACGCAGTATAACTAGCCCTAAAATAACATGTGTTTCACAGTTAAGTACTTTGTCACTGAACTGCATCAATTAATTATGTAACTGAAATAATCAGTAACCAGGACTACAATACAATTTCGGGATATTATCCAACTGTTAGAAACAATGAGTAAAAAGTAAGAAACGCTCTATTTATTTATTTAAACACATAAACATTGGTACAACGAGGAACCAAATATATATGCGCCACATAAATCATTCGATTGGTGTAAGGGTTGGGATACTGTCCGGGTGCCCTAACCTAAGCAGGTGGTTTTTTAAGGGGCCACGCCCGGAACCTTTCACCTAAACTTCTGATCCACAAGACAGTGGAGCAACGTCAGGAGATGCAGTCTCATGGTAACTGGTGACCAACGATTGGGTCATATGCCATTTGTTCCTTCAGGATTCAGGAGCACATGTGCACCAGTGGTTTGGAATCAGGGTTTTCCAACTCCCCTATGTGGATACTCCATGTCTACTAACCCGGTTAATGTGCCGGACATTTGCTTTTCGTCCTCTCAATTTCGTAAACAACATCCCCGCCACGAGAAGGCAGTGAGTAGGACTTCCTTAGCAGTGGTTGCATGAGATCATTTCGAGAGGGAGAGCCAACTCTCCCCACTCTCGGCCGTACCGAGGCATTTGGAGGCCAAAAACACTCTACGAACACAAACATTGCAATCTAGGAATATTTATTCACCAACTTTTAGAAGGCTTAGAGTTTGCTTATGACCACCGTTCAGTGGGCTAATATGATCCTAAAAAAAACCATATTGATTTTGTATCATTATGTTAGAGTAAACGGACATATAAACGTTTAGTTAATGACATATTAAATATCTATTGTATTCAAGAGAATTAGTAAACATGATTATTTGCACTGAATAATTTGTACCATACATATCAGATAACAAAATACTGATGCACTATTAGGCATCTGGTCAATATAAGTTTTAACATATTTACACGCTTTACGTTAAAGTATTTTGATAATTAAAATATATTCATTTGAACCTACAATCACGAAACTGTAAGAGTTTCTATTTACAAAAATGTAAAGTATCTCGTTTTGTTTACCGATAATAATAAGTTTAGAAATTAGATAATTTAACGCTAGTTCTAAAAACTAATTAACATAAATCTAAAAATTAATTAAGATCAGGAAAAATCTCCCCTTTAACTCTCTCATGCTCAAACGGTATTTAAGTTAGCCATCCTTTCTTCAGTACTCAATAAAAGTGAAATATCTAGCATTTTTGAGGATTTTTCCTTTAATTTAGGTATCAGCGCTGTATATAAGAGTGTACTGAGGATTTCAATTTAATCATCTGAAGCCATGTCTTTTATGAAGACGCTACTGTAGCGCATTCCAACTTTCCGGATGGAAGAAGCAAAGAAATTGGAAATTAGAGCTTGAAATAGAAACCTCAGTGGAAATTATGCTCTTATATTCAGTGCTCACCTACCAAGTAATGAACAGAAAAATGTTCCAAGATCCTAGATGCCACTAATATACTGAACATTTTGAAAAATGGACGCGTTACAAAGTCATGGACACGTATCGCATCTCGTTTAAACATACATATAATTTCCAAATAACCCGAAGAAAATAGCATCAATAAATTGAGGGACAAATAAGTCAAACGTATTCATTTTTTTAAAAAAAATATTTAGTTAATTTATTATGTAAAGTATTCGCTTAGTAATATCTTCCGTAAGTGATTATTCGTTGGGTGTAGAAGTTACATTCCTTGAAGTGAATTATTATAACAAAAAAGTCATATGCTCATTTATAAATATAGTGTTCAGCAAGTATAGGGTTTTAGTAACAGTAACACAATGCTTAGATATGATTCTTTTAAGGGATCATATCCTATGGCTGTATCTTATCGACTTATTATCACATCCTTAAATTGGAGTTGGGCGATTGTCCCAATCTGATACTGATATATATATATATATATATATATATATATATATATATATATATATATATATATATATATCAGCGAAGCCGACCGGCTACTTAAGTGAGAATGCTAAGACTGAGTAAGAAGCTTGTACTGGTTGACTCGAATTAACACATATACATAAACTCACCCATTTAACATAGACATATGTCCCTAAGAAAATTAAACCAGATATCCAACCAATAGCTTACCTGTCTTCCACTCTCTCAGATAATGAATCTAAACGCTGAACAACAGGGTGAACCCATCAGTATCTCTGATTTACCATTCAGCCTTAAAAAAAACTAGTTGGTTTGATGAGTCCATTCCATCAGATATATATTCAGGTAATTTATATATTTTAGGATAATATAGAGCACATAATATTTTTAAAGAGATTGCATTTTAAAATTTTACCAGGAAGAATTAAAGTCATTTCGATGAACTTGTTATTATAATAATAATTTCCTTTTTTTTTTAAAAAAATACATTTAAGATTTGCAAAATTAAATTCTGTTTGTAAATGTTATTTGATTGTTTTTCTTTGTCTATTTGCCAATTATTGAATTATGAACTTGAGTTTAAACAAATTAAACGAGATTCGAACTGGTAAACTGTATCATTAGTCTTCGGGCAATAAATCTGGTTTATTTGTACATGGCTTCAAATTTATATGATTGATTCTGTTATTATTATCATTAGTTTTATTATTGGGATGAGTACTTTGTGGAGATTGTTCAAGTGATTATGTAGTAAACTTACTTTAGTGAGACAATCATTGGAAACTAGGAAGTACTGGATAGTTGTTGTTGTTCATATTGTGTCCATATCTCCACTGTTGGATTTCCAGTCCCATTTCTAATACTTGACAATCGTGAAACACTGTAATTCTCGCGACTCAAAGTTAGAACACAAAAGACTGGTGGGAATAGTCTTATTAACTCATTAAAATTGCGTCCCCAAACTCATAGCTAACAAAAGTCGTCCTTAGACATATACACACTCATTTATACACCGAATTTTACACACAATAATATGAAATACAAGGGAAAATACACCAAGTTACTATAAAAAACACACTGCTTATAGTACACCTGAGTTGACACGAGCAATGCAAATGTCACTCTTCACCAGAGTTCACGTCATCTATATTGAACGGAGTTCATGTTGAATTGAAAAGAAAATATTGACTAGAAATAACGTTAGATTTAACCAGAGTTCGCACTTGTCACGCTGGACGACATTTACAGAAGTGATACAAAAATCAATTGACCAGAAATAATGTCACAATTTTATCCTGTTATACGAACTGGTATTTGATGGCAAACGACCTCGAAGCGTTGCTCACGTATACTGAAACCATCGAGTGAGTTAGGTACTAAATAGAGATACCAGATAAGCTGACGATTTAGTAGATTTTCACTAAATGATGTGTTTGGTACAATGCAGTCGCGTAAGTAGCCATCACTCGGCTATATTGTATTATTACATATCATTAATCATTAGGCGCATGTTACCTATTAGCTTGACAATCTCTCAATGGGATTTCGTCACAACTCATAAAAGGCAAATTCATAACACAAATATATTTGTTGTAACTGATGGCCTGGATCAGTCAGATACATCGATTTAGGGCCAAATGATAAGTGAGAGATGCTGTTAACGCGTTCATGCTACCAGTTAAGATTTGGCTTAATATATATATATATATATATATATATATATATATATATATATATATATATATATATATATATATATATGAATGAGTCTGTGTATACATTGAAATTCGAGTTCGCTTCTTAATCAGATGCAACATAAAACCTGGCAAATGTGTACATCCGTTCAAAATGCTATACTCCATTAGCACATCGAGACGAAATTGCCAAGGCAAATCACAGAGTAGCAGAGGCAGAAACAATAATTAGTGGCAAGAGAGAAGACTAAGCACACAAGATAAAATTTGAGAAAATATAGATTAGTGAGATTATAAAAAGATTTATGCAGGATTTAAAAAATTAGGATCTACGAAAAGGTAGAGTAGACGCATTCGCACCATTGAAGACAATTTTGAGCCGTCATTCGAAGTTTCCAACTATCGGTTACGATAATCTCATTGACCCTAACCACGCAGTCTGCACCTGCCTACATGCCTCAGTCCAATAGTGAGTTTACTCCTGGACTGATGCCATGTCTTGGTAGCTTCTTACTCACTCTTGGTTTTCTCACTAAAGTAGCGAATCGGGTTCGCGTATATATCAGTATCAGACTAGAATGACCACTAAACATAATAAGCTTCAATTGTTCAAAATAGACAAAAACGAACAACATGATTAAAATATACTATGGAAAATGAGACTCCTATTAGTTGGATACAAAAGAATGGTTATTTATATCTGGTGTCAGCACTTAGTAGAAATAACTGACTTATGAAAATAGAATAAATTGTTGCAAACAATCATAGATGAATAGTCCAAACGGCGATTGATTACAATCACTACAAATTATCTGTCATAAAATTTATTCACTAACTATATGGTTATTTAATTCACTTGATATTGTTTTATTTGAATCTTCCCATCGATGTTTTTGGACTGAAATTGATCAGTCTCTTATTGGCATATGTGCATACTGTGCGTATGCCTCGATATTGCCTTAATTTACAAGCATTATAAGCAAAGATGGATAGTGGCTAGCAGTGGAATCCAGGACGCGCGTTTCGTCCTGTTTGGGACTCGTCAGCTGGATGTACCTGCATCTCAGAGTTGATGTTCACTCTGGGACTGGCTATCAGGACTCAGTAGCTAAGTGGATAACGCGATGGCGTTTGAAGCGAACGGTACTGAGTTCGAGTCCCAGAGTGAACATCAACTCTGAGATGCAGGTACATCCAGCTGACGAGTCCCAAACAGGACGAAACGCGCGTCCTGGATTCCACTGCTAGCCACTATCCATCTTTGCTTATATGGTTATTTGTTAATCGAACGATTAAATCGGTTTCAAGGCATTACTGAAATCTCTTTCCAGGGTAAAAAGTGCTATTAAAATGCAAGTTATTTATCTGTTCAAATAGTTGTATCGTCCCACGATGGAAGGACATGACTTCAAATAAAAAATCCAACAGCTGGACCAGTGACAGTTTTTATCAAATAAAACCCAAAATAACTAAGTATCGATAGACTAATTTTGTCTAGCATGGATAAGGCGTTCAATTTATGGGTTATTTTTACCATTACTATTATTATTATTAATTATATTACAAAGATCAGGAAATAAGATCAGATCAGACGGTTGTTGATAAAGAACTAAATACCAAATATGCAATGAACAGTACAAAGTTATATTTTTGGTCTTTACCTAAACGAATGACTGTTGACTGACAAATTACACTATACATATAGATCATAAAATTTTGCAGAAAAATCCAGTGACACTAATTCTGCTTATCCCACATGTGGCCAGCAATACCCTCAAGATTTCAGGTACACCTCGTTGACGTGTGCCAACTAGAAAGGAACAGGGGTATGGTATTTCATATTTTTGGTTAAAGACATTGGATGACATGGCTCAGAATGGGCTACAATCGAGTAGATACATTCGCTATTTGTTGTCCTTCAGATCATGAGTTATAGATGCAAACATCATTATTCTAACATAGGTTTAAAAAGCTAGTTAGTACCACCAGACTTGAAGCTTAAGATTAAATGAATGAGAATCCTCACTTGAGCTACGATACGCTGAACCAATCAGACATATCAAGTCAAAAACAAATGACTGGTGAGAGATGCTAACGGATGCACGTTATTGGCCAAAATTTAACTGGACGTTCTGAGTAAACATATATATATATATATATATATATATATATATATATATATATATATATATATATATATATATATATATATATATATTAATACGTTGAATGCATATTATCTTTTCGTGCTAATCAATGAAAGTTTACTACTCACCCTTATATGAAACTTTCTATAGATCACTAAATCCTATTGTCCTCAATAGAAAAAAAGGGCTTACTATCCTACTGATTTGGACCATCTATTCGAGCTAACATCTCACATTATTACTATACGTACAAATTTCAATCTCTTCTTTTGAAGGCGACCTGGTTGCATATCTGAGCTACCTGTACCTGCCATCTGGATATTTCAACTAGTTATCAGTTTTCTTGTTTGTTTTAACATATCATTATATCTATTAGTCGCATAACCTACTCAGGTGCGTTTAAGAAATGTTTACTACATTTTGCTGTACAACTTACAAAAGAGCACAATCAGAGACATTGTGGTTGCTGGCAATATGCATCGAAAAAAATATACATTAATCAGATGTCCATTCTTGAACTGCTAACATCTAATTAGTGACCACTCAATGTTGATCACAAGGGTCAATCAAGAAATAAAAAAAGGAAACTTGTTGAAATACTTTGATCTGAGAATTCTATATTGTACCAAAAATATAATAATAATATTATTATTATTATAATTTACGTAATGAAATACCTAATTGAGTTACAGAATATTAGAAGACTGTATATAATGCTAGTAGACTTAGACAATTGTAGAAATAGAATAAATTAGAAGAAAATGAAACAATTGAATTTGATAAAAAAAAAAGATAATGAACTTACTTTAAATTACATGCATCAATAGCTGCAGCGGTTAATAGTTTATTTTGTTTTTTTAATTTGTACTGATATAGATATCTTGAATATAAATTAGGTATAGGTTTCTTTAAACTACACGAAAATTGATGAGTGAAATGTTGACGTAATCTATTAGCCTATTTTAATGATTAAAATAAAAGCAAGAATTTATATTTTAAATATGTATATAAGTAGTCTAAGGAGATAATAAGTTCAGAAGAAATGAATGAAATGTGTTAGTAAAAGTATTCTTGGATAATATAACAAAATAATACAAAAAGAATTTTCCAACTACAAAGAAATGCGAATAGATGAAACTTTCTATATATTACTAAATCTTACTGTCCTCAATAGGAAAGAAGAGGGGCGATTGATTATGAATACAGTGATCTTGAGTGCTATTAGAGGTATGCGGGCAGTTATTATTTCTCGGTTGCCCACACCGTGGAAGGGTCCATTTGTGGAGGAGGAGGTTCTAATGAAGGACTTACTATCCTACTGATTTGGACCATCTATTCGACCTACCATCTCAAACGATTACCAAACATACAAATGTCACTCTATCATTTTACATTACAAATGTCATATTTTTCACTTATTAACACACACACAAATACATAAGTGTATCTCATAAAAAATCGCATTGACTGGAATGACATGACATTTTTTTTAGATTGATCGTAATAAATGTTTTTGCTTTGTCCCTTTTTATTATTTAAACTTGGGTTACTTTAATTTGTTTATTCTCTGAAAAAATTGGCTAAGAATGAGTAAACAAACGTCAGGAAATCTAATTTTTCTACTCATTGGGATACTACAAATATATTAGTAGGTTATTAGTCGGTTGGAGAATGCTGGTTGGCGGTATATGCTCCATTGGGAGTAACAGGCGTAAGTAAGTAAGTAACAATCAATCCAATACTCAATCTATTTGACATTATAATTTCAAACCTTGGTAATGATGTCGATAATATATATTTACACCATAAATCTCATGTAATAATCAAACGCATTTAAGTCAATGTACTCAGTTTTCAGCCACTTGTTTTTTTATGTATAAGACAAATTATAATACTTGGCTGGTTAAAACGAAACAGATCACGTGTAGTCCAAATCGATAAAGTGAGGTTCTTATTGAAATAGATCAGTAGTTGAACTCTGCTCAAGAATGTGAAAACAAGATGAAACATTTCGGAAGATGGTCCACAATAAGAAGAGTTTTTCTACATATACAACGGCTGGGGTACCCCGTTTTTTGCAAAGAGAACTTTTTCTTATGTACCGAAATTGGGTGAACTAAGTAGATAACATGATTAAATGAGAACTAACTGAATAAAAATATATACTATAAAAATGGTTCTCATAAATATACGACATCTTTTTACTTATTCATACGTGGATAACTGAAGAGTATTCATTTTAGTCAACAAGGTTAATTTGAACAATCTCGACTGAATATGTCCAGATACATATGAATCTAATTGAGAAAAAAAAGGTTACTCAATATAATATAATCAGTTTTATAGTTACCAGATCAAAATCAGTAATCTGGATTTATTATCTATTTTTAATAGGTTTTAAGTAAGAAAACTAACACCATAGGAAAAATACTACTCCAACACATGACTTTGTCAATCATCCATTATTCCTATTTCATCAAAGTTGACTAGTACTCACTAGATTGTTATTTACATGACAGGATAATTTTGGCTTTTATAGAGGGGGGAGGAGGGTTAAGATAATTTTGAATGGATTAATTAACCGTTTCAGATTTCGTTTTACAAGCACACATATTGAAGACTGAACGAACATTATCCTTTTTTCATTTTTATGATGTGAATCGCGAAAATTCTGTCTGGAAGACAAGACATGTGATAAGAGTAGTTGGTTTCGATGATTCGCATAGTTAGCTATTATTTTCAAACAAATGGCTAAGTGCTGCCACATAACAGAAGATATAACACATTTTACTCAGTTAAAATTTTTAATTAACCCAAAACTAATTTGAATTGAAGCTTATGGTTAAATGACTTTGACTGCCTTTGTGAACAAACGAATCTACTAGTATAAGAACAGGTGAAATTGAGGAACTTGACAAGCTATTCTCTGATGCTTCATCATCTGAATTTTTGGTGTGTGCGTATTAACTGCTTTAAGGTATTCTTTGTGTACCCTTAATTGTAAGCTTTTATTCAGGACGTTAATTTTTGATATACAATTTGTCTTTCGTAAATTAATATTGGCAAGAGTATATGGTAAAAGTATAACATACGGAAGGGTCAATCAAAATCGGGAAAACTTAAGATTTGCGCAAAATCTGAAAATGACTTTTATCTTATATATCATATAAGTCCAGTTCCTAAATTCAATTACATTTTCCGAACTGAACCTTAAGTCTGCGGTTCTGAATATATAACTCTAACCATAGATAATATGAAGACTCTTAAAGATCTTTTTGCGTCCTTGTGAGGTTTATAGAAGACGGATATCTTACACGCATACTGACGAGTTTGTGACTTTATCTTCTCAATTTACAGACAGAGCCTTTGGATAACTTTATTAAACTCAGTATTTATGTATAATTTGCTTATCTTTTGCAATATTGTTCTTTTCTTTTCCCCAAACCATTCAATTGCATAAGCTATTTCCTGATTGGTTAAGGACCAGTTGAAAGTTGTTTGGTTATTTTAAGCCCATGTTCTTACCAGTAAAAGTCATCCATTTTTAAGTTTTGCCCAAAAGCCTTGTAACAGCGCTCTCGATCTTAAGTGGCTTATCCCTACATTAACACTTAACATAAAAATCAATTAGTTACAAATCTGTTATTCGGTTTCCCATTATATCGTAATTTTCTACATGCTTAGGCTTATTATTTCTATCATTAATAAACTCATGGGACAATAGAGAAATCTTATACATATATATGGTTGGAGTGTTGAAATTTCCAGTGCTGATTAGTTAATTTTATATGGGACTAAACAGAAATGACTGTAGCACGATATCATGATGACTGTATGAATTTAGTCTCAAATTTTTGTATAAAACAGCAACTAACCGGAAGGATTCATAACCTTCCTATTTTTTTCGAGTTCATGTTTCCGTTGTCTTATAGCCCTGTGACTAACTTGTATTGCAAACAAAATACTAATGTCACATGTTCGGTAACAGTCATATAAAATAGGAATTCGTAATCATTTTATACGAAGTAAACTTATTGATATTATACTATTTTACGGGAAAATACACACTGACTAACTTCAATTCATACTAATAAAATAGTTCTAAACGATGTTCATAACAGAGATCTAAGATACTGTATAATCTTCCGGTTGACGGACCGTTTCAGCCTTTAATTCACAATGTACACTTCCAGATTTTTTAAACTATTTATATAGTTCGCCAAATCTATTTTAAATGAACAAACTGTGAACAAACGCATCAGAGCACTGAAGTCATCTACACCAAACAAATCTAATAGTAGTACCGCCTACATAACTAACCATTGCGAAACTTATGAAATTAATAGCCTGACCTGACACGGTCAAGTCTGAACAGCACATATACTCTACCATTTAGTGAAGGAAATCGTAGAGTATTAAACTCGAATGTAATAAACAACACATATCTACACCAATAAGCGAAAGGGCTTGTTCATTCTGATTAAATACAATTACAAATGAATGATTCAACTAAACATTTGATGTGATGTGAATTTATCTTAATGACATCGGCATTCATTTCTCAAACATTAAACTTTTCGCATAAACATTTAATCCATTTTAAATTATGTAACTTAACAATATTTCTTATTTATTTAAACACATAAACACTCGTACAATGAGGAACCAAATATTATGCACTACACAAATGATTCGATTTGTATGAGGGCTGGATTACTGATCAGACGCCCAAACCGAAACAGGTGGCTTTCTTAGGGGGCCACACCCCAAGCCTTCGACCTAAAGGTCTAATCCATAAGGCAGTGGAGCAACGTCAGGAGATGCAGTCTCATAGTACTCGATGACCAACAATTGGTTCATACGACATTTGTTTTCTTAGGATCCTGGAACCCATATGCACCATTGGTTTGGAGTCAGGGTTTCCCAACTCCCCTAGGTAGATCCTCCGTATCCATCAACCCGGTTAGTGCAGGAAATTCGCTTTTCGGCTTCTCAGTTTCATAAACAACACCCACGTCACGAGAAGGCAGTGAGTAGGACTTTCCTGGCAGTGGTTGTATGCACGTGGTCATGTGAGAACATTTCGAGAGGGAGAGCTGACTCTCCCCACTCTCGGTATTTGGGGGCAACTTAACAATAAACTCTTACTAGAACCCATTTAGAGTTACTACCTGTCGCAATCCCGGATAAAGGAGTAAGGCTGTCCATAGGGTCGGCAACTCTATCCCATAGAAAACCTTGCTAAAAACGTTAAACAGAAAAAAACCATTTGAACTCTGCCCTAGGAGTTAAGGGATTTAATGATAGATGTGATTCATGTGTAGATACTTGGATTTTTATTAGGTTAAAGTTGCATTTATTTATTTATTCCGAATTAGTGCAATTTATATAAGAAATATCACTTGAAGAAAAAAGTATTATTATCTTCATCACTAAACATATCACTAAATGTAAATTGGTATCTTCCAAATCACTTCTGATGCAACACATCTACGAATAACATACATTCGTATATTGCAAGCCTTGAACTACATTACTGGCTAGTGATAACCAGTTGTTTAAACCGAAATGAAGATGCGTTCAAACGTATAACCCAGTAACTGTGAAACAGAACAACTTTGTACATTAAGCAATTACTTTATCTCATAAGTATTGATTATAAAATAATAACCAGAACAGAATAGCTAGTGCCTTAGCAATGGTAAAAGATTTTTACTAATTTGCAATTAAACATACACGACTAATGTCTCTTAAATTCTGTGATTGTTAAAAAAAATTATAAGTCGAAGTGAAGATGAAAGTACACTAAAAATAACGTAGTGGGCTAACATACATATAGACTTTCTTAGACATGGAAACAATATTCTATAGCTTTTACATAAAATGTGTAACTATATCCAAATCAACAGAGGTTGAATAGTTGAGTTACACGTTTTGCGAGACGGCTAATTTAAAAAATGTCCTACTTAACAAATATAGCAGAATTTAGACAGTTTGACACAATAGGGGAGTACCTACCGAAGTTATAAGGCAGAGCAACCTAACAAACAGCTATAATACTTACATGAACAAAAAAATCCCAAGTTAACAAACAACTAAACAGCGATGTTATCGAGTAGCATAAACTTCATACAAATATCAGGGAAAAGAAGAGTAAAATTAGAAAAAAATCATTTATATAACACAACTTGCTACTGATACAAATGGAAATGTAACAATCCAAGAAGTTTTGTATTTTCGCCAAACAGATTTGTACTTTCACTGAAAGTGAAATTAGGTTTATTTTTATGATAATATGATAATTGATCTCTTCCATAATGATATTGTATTTTTGTTCAAAATGCGGACAAAAATGTAAGATCACTACGCAAGTTCAACGCATGGTGTTGAAGAATATTCCGGTTTAACCTGAAAAACAAACAAACAATTGTATGTTTGATTCAATAAATAGAGAAACAATGCAACAAATCAATTTACTCAATACGTTTGTGTTATATATTGCTAATATGCTCACGTCTCGACACTGTCGTTATTTTAGACCGGTTTTGGGACATGTTCTGCACTACTCTTTATCAACTCACTTAATACGACCATCAGTATCAAAGAAACCACAACGCTACTTTTTAACTATTTCGGTAACCATTCACATAAATACAGATGGAACAATTCAAACGCATACACCTAAATTCATAAATAGTATTCACATTTCCGCATTAGTATGGGCAACTTCATCGGACCACCAGAAGTAGTGATAATACACAAAGAATTCAGCATAATGAGATGTCATTTTGGAACTGATTTTACATATCTTACTTCGGCACTTGATTCAACACTCAGACGACAAAAATTCAGCTTACAGGTAAATGCACCATATTACTGGCAACCGAAATTCAGAAGCATTTATAAATCTATACAGATATATGACGACTATAATTACTAGCTAGGGCCATACCAATATTGAAGTTTCGTAGGTAGTTTGAATAGCTATTTAACCAGAAGGTTAATGAAACCTAATTTAAATAGATATGATAAAAATAAACAGAAGACTAAAATTGCTACAATTATTAGAACGGTAATCATCGACTACTCTACAACAACCTGTTAGAATAGCTTATAGAAACTGGGGTGTATTTTGTGGAGCAATGGCTAAGTGATTAAGGCGTTCAACTTCCAGTCAGTGAGTCACTGTTTCGAACCCCGCTTCACCTAATCCCGCGATTGTAAAACGGTCTAGTATCACTAAACTTCACACTTAGTGTGTGGCTACAAACCAAGTACAAGGATCAGTATATGGTAAACAGATTACATGAGAGGGCAGAAATTGGAAATATATCAACTGCATCAGCAGCTTTAAACATAATGTGACAAATATTTTGAGAAAATAACCTTTATTTACCTTGAAGGGAGGACCATAAGCAGGGACTACCCAATCAGCTCGCTCTAAAATAGACATACGGCTTTGACGCCAACCGTTGATCAAATTTTCTTTGTCACAGTTACTTTCTCCATAATTCCCTTCCAGCGTGTCAAGAAAGCTTACACGACTAGCATCTTGAACATCCATAAACAAGTTCCCAGTAACAGCTATACGACATGATTCACGACACTCACCAGTCTTCAACTCTATAAGACGACCATTTACTATCAAACTGACTTGTGGACCTCTCTGACCAGGAGTTCCGATAACACAAAACTGAAAAAATGTGAAGAGCATATTTGAAATTATCAGTTGAATCTCCTCATTTCAATCAAGTTATGAAACCATAAGCGAGGAAATCTACTTCAACGGAATGCGTTAATATGATTTTGTAGATCTATTTATTCTCATCATCCGTTTTTCATATGCAGTTCAGTTCGGCCTATCTTATGCATTGACTAATTAAAACGATGAAGTGATGATAACAACTGACAAATTAAATAAGCAAGGTGGACTTACAAGTAACAGTAATTTAGCAACCAATAGCTTTAATAAACCTTAGGTTGGGAGGACTATGAGAATTTAAAGTCACACGAAACAATTAAGGTAACTAATAAGAACGGATATAATTTATGATTGAGTTTCCGTTACTATTTAGTCACACAAACAAGTCGCGTTTCCAAACTACCTTTACTTTTCAAATATAAAAAAGGAAGTACCAAGATATCACAAAAGGGCATTTGGAATTTGTTAGCGGGACACAGATTGGATTAAAGCATGGTCAATGCACGACTGCTTTGGTGCACGCTGATTGGTTAATTCTTATCCAAACAGCGCTAGTCGATACTTGGAGAACAATCTAGAAATCTTCTCGTGTAAAAACTATAAATATACTGGCGTTTTTCCTATTGTGCTTCTTACTTGCGACTTGCTTCCATCTAACCTTGTTATTTGGAATATAATCTCTTTCCTGTCCAACCGTGTTCTGATTTGGGGACTTGTCGAGTGAATTGGTGTCCAAGAATACTAAGCAATAGGAATAGCTGGGTTATACCGTAAAAGAGTATTATAACAAAATCATTTCAGCTATTGAAAGGGATTTATACTAATAACATTTCGATATGGTACTAATATTCTACGGTTAGCCGTACAAAAGTTGTAACAGTAAGGTCCCTATAATTAATATAAAGCATCTCAAGTGATGCGGTCTAGTAACAAGTGAAAGCAATAGCTGCAAAAGATTAGTTCCAGAAACAACAAGTACACTACCCCAAGGACATTCGATGTTTGATATAAGGATTGGAATGGAAAGCACCCAACTTTACGGGACCGAAAACAATTCACAAAACGTCGTGTGAACACCTAGCAGATTTTTTATGCTACATGGTTGAATTCTCAAACCCATCAGACCAAAATAAAAACAGTACGTTTCCCAGTAAAGTGAGCTTTCATTATGTAGACAACCCGGAAGCTCTAATTCTCTGCACACAACTAGCAGTACATGAGTTCATTTCATTTAACAACGTCTAGCTCCGCTTTTGTCCCACTAAGCTTTTAAAAGGATGAAAAAAAGCAACTCAAATGTAAACAGACATACAACCCACACAGTAGTGGTGGGCAGTGGAAGCAAGACATTATGATAAGCAAAACTAGAAATTATCAAGTACACTGATGGCCAAAACGTTATAAATTAGTGGGTCTAATATCGAGAACTGAACGGTGATCTATGATAATTTAAAATCACTGGGAAGATTGGGTATTTCGAGTAACTGTTTAAATGGCTTTCAGCTACTTCTGAACTGCGATGAAATTTATTTATTTATTTGAACACATAAATATTGGTATAAAGGGGTACCGAATATATATATGTACCACATAAATCACGATTTTTGTGTGGGCTGTGATACTGTCCGGGTGCCAAAACCGAAGCAGGCGGTTTTCTTAGGAGGCCACACCCCAAGCCTTCGACCTGAAGGTCTGATCCACAAGACAGTGGAGCAACGTCAGGAGATGCCATCTCATGGTATCCGGCGTTCAATAACTGGTTCACATGCAATTTGTTCCCTCGGGATCCTAGAGCCATGTGCACCAATGGTCTGGAATCAGGGTTTCCCAACTTCCCTAGGTGGAATCTCCACATCCACCAAAATCAGACGTCCAACGCTGTAAAGACTATTTTAAAGCTAGGGAGAGCAGTAAACTTTAAAGGTCTTTAAAATCAGTAATCCCTGTTTGACATAGGGACTTAAGTAAGACATTTCATTGATCAGATATTTATATACCATTATTCAGAAACATACTAAAGAAATAAACTGACCTACTGAAAAGTGCTTAAACATGTCTAAATTGACCCTAAGACGAGACAGCATGTGAACAGGCCATATTAGTTAGTAATCTCGTTCAACAAAAATGATTCTAATATAATTATCAACTAGCTACGGCTTACAGTTTTCAGTTAGCAACGCCTATGCAAAACAGCCAGGTAACCATATCTACCTATTGAAGAGAACCTATTCAGAATTCGTGAACCGACCGCGATCAGGTCACTGTAATAGGTACACCTGTTCAAGTAGATATTATACCATCTTACTCCACAAAGACATATACACTAGCAATACGATTAAGTCTTTTTAAAATGGGCACTGGATACTGTGAAAAACCTGTTCAAATCAAATTTCACTAAATAGTATCATAGCTACAAAAAAACAGTATAGTGGTCTATACTTTGTAGATTAGTATATTTGTGACAAACCGTCACTTAAGTACTTCAGGCGCGTAGACTTTATAAACTGAAAAGGAACAAGGAGAAACTCGACGAGTATCATCAGTCATAATCTCAGGGTTTTATTTTGAACCAATGTAGGAAATGATAATTGGCATGTCACTTACAAATTCATACCACTAAAATGCCTATTGTCTGACGTAGGTACGTCCACGTAGCACTACAAAAAACATGGTATCAAGTCTAAACTCTGGTTAGTTCTCTCAACTTTTGCTTAAAACGAAGTGACAGGTTACTAGACAATAAAAACAATCGATCACAACGGTGCAAATCTCGGTTTTTGCAGATGTCAGCTACCTTGTAGGATGGTAGCACTAATTTTGTAGACTGCAAACTGATCACGTCTAACCCTGAACTGCAGCCACACCGAAGTATCAAGTTATGTTGGATCATGACATACCAGTAGCGAATTTTTCGTTGAGATTGTGACGAAATGTATGTTTTTGTAGTTGGTCTGGAAAATACTAAACACAGTTTAGCAATGGAAAAATCTTTGGGAAAGTACTTTGGCACGGGCATTTTTATCTTTAAATGAGTAATTATTAGACTGTAATCGACAACATTGAATATCACTATATAGTCGGAAGCGTGCCCTTCATGTGTCTGCTGCAACCACATGGTCAAAGCCCCCAAATGCCCTGGTACGGCCGAGAGTGGGAAGAGTCAGCTCTCCCTCTCGAAATGTTCTCACATGACCACGTGCATACAACCACTGCCAGGGAAGTCCTACTCACTGCCTTCTCGTGGCGCATATATATTTGGCGCACTCGTGTACCAATATTTGTGTTCAAATAAAATAAAATAAATCTCGTGACATGGGTGTTGTTTATGAAACTGAGAAGCCGAAAAGCGAATTTCCTGCACTAACCGGGTTGATGGATACGGAGGATCTACCTAGGGGAGTTGGGAAACCCTGACTCCAAACCAATGGTGCATATGGGTTCCAGGACCCTAAGGAAACAAATGTCGTATGAACCAATTGTTGGTCATCGAGTACTATGAGACTGCATCTCCTGACGTTGCTCCACTGCCTTACGGATTAGACCTTTAGGTCGAAGGCTTGGGGTGTGGCCCCCTAAGAAAGCCACCTGTTTCGGTTTGGGCGTCTGATCAGTAATCCAGCCCTCACATAAATCAAATTACTTATGTGGCGCATATCTATTTGACGCCTCATTGTACCAATGTTTACTTATTTAGATAAATAAACAGCGTGGTCAAATGCTATCTTTCGTAATTTGCAGTCACGAGATTATGAGATCATGGTTGTTAGATCACAGCTCAAACTGATAGGCCATTGAGTAGACAGGTCAGACTAATCCACCGAAAACCAATATACATGAAATACCAGGTCAATATAATAGTCCAATAACAAACATCATAGAGGTTAACAAGACGAAAACAATAAGGAAAAAAATTACGAAGTCAAATTGGGAATTGGGGGGTGTTTTAGTTTAAAATGAATGGCTATCCATGTCTCTCAAAAGGCAAACACAAATACTTTGTAGTCTGTAGTGTTGACTAGCAGTGCAGATCAGAAGGTAATGAAGAACTTTTGGATCAGTCCTTAATAAATTAGAATATTAACCCACTAGTGAACAATCGATGATGAATATTTTTAGACATGATAATCTACAACACAAACTACGAAGATGACATGGAATGAATGAATCTTAAAACAAGAGGGGGAATTCCTAATCAACATTTCTATAAACCACAGGAACTTACATTCTCATCAAATTCATACGGTGTTATTCCACAGGAAAAATCGTGCTCCAAAAACTTGTCGCCTCGCATTTGTATATCGTATCCAACAATCATTATTTCAGCACAGCCGAATGTACTCATACAACCAACATGTTCAGCATGACCATCTGTACATATGACACCTTTGATATCCTTTTCAGGTTCGTGAATACCCGCAGCTTTGAGAGATGATAACAACTCAGGCCCATTCCAAACAGACCCAGGGTTCACCACATAAGCACCTGCTGGACCACGAATTAGTGCAGTATTACACTTTCGATATACGTAGTCAGGGGATCTTGCATAATGTCCTTCATGAAGCACAAAAACAGAATAACCGTCTGTACCCATTTCGACGTGAAGATTTTAATTATAAGATTTCTGGTCAAAACTTGGCTGAATTACCAATATATGAATACGGAATCTGAATATAAAATAAACACAAACAAATCGCCTAAAAATGTTTTTGAACCAATTCACATGTGGTGAAAATAGAACCATACTGTAACACTAAGTGATAAGTGAATTGAAAAGACTGTGAGTTTGAAACTGGAAGAAGTAAATCACCCACAAGTAAAAGCAATGTTTCAATAAGCAGGCGAACCAGAGTCGCCAACTGCTATCAAGAACTCTGGAAGAACTAAAACATCTTAAAACACGAAATGTGTGATCAGACTTCGATTAAAATAATTGCTAGTTTTCTTTCGCCTAATACACGGATAAGCATGTCCCTACAACTCTTGTGCAAATTTTGAGGTTTTCCCGATGTTTTACCAGACTTTGGAAAAAACTAGTAATCTTTACGACTTTGGGTTAAACTCCGAAACCTCCCGAAATCCGAAGTTAATGAGATTTCTACAACATCTAGACAATTTGTTAAAGGTCGATTTTGGGGATTTCACCTGCTTATATTCTTGAAGAAAATCCCTAGACCAACTGGAATTTTCAGGTTTTTATCACACTTCCATGAAGCCTTAAATTTTCCAATGCAGCTTCCGAATAATTGATAAAACTTTCCTCAAAATCGGGCTACTTAAACTGGTACGAAACCAGACGTTGTAAGTAAAAGAGACATCACGTTAAGAAACACTAGGTTACACGTAAGGAGCTCACTTGTTTTGACTCTGACACCCAAAATAGGGGACAACAAGGAATATGACGGAGGGAACGATGTAAGACCGGATTACCCGCGAGTTCTACAGCTTTCGAGAAATCAGACTAACGGCTATCACCCAATATCCAATATCTCTTTCGGCGAGCCTGTATAAATCATTATAATTTTTGTGCCCATTGGTAGTTGTTTCGGTACCATTCAGGGTTTTTGATGATGAATGTACACTATCCAATACTTTGGTCCACTGCCTTCGTCCAGTTCCTTCACCCACATTCTCACCGCAGTAGACAGGTTTACTAGATGGGCCATAGCCTGCCCCATAAAAGACACTTCGGCAGAAACAGTCGCTTCAGTATTCCTCGACCGCTGGATATCTAACTATGGAGTACCATTAATAATCACAACAGATCGTGGTCCTCAATTTCAATCTGTCCTTTTTCAGGAGTTCACTAAACTTCTAGGGGTCAACCCCATTGAAACCACAGCTTACCACCCAGCAGCTAATGGCATGGTTGAAAGATTCCATCGCCAATTAAAAAGTTCACTGATGGCGCAAGCTGACTCATCAAAGTGGAGCGATGCCTTACCGCTTGTACTCCTCGGTATTCGTTCAACCATAAAGGAAGACATTGGATGTACAGCCTCCAAGTTAGTCTACGGTACAACTCTAACGTTACCTGGTCAACTAGTCAACTATGAACCCACAACGCACGGGGATTCTACTCACTTCGCAAGTCGCCTATTACAAACGACGCAGAATATTAAAGTAATATCCCCTCGCGAACACAACAATCGAGTCCAACTTGATAAAAACCTTGAAACGTGCAAATTTGTCTTCGTCCGAGTAGATGCGGTTAAAAAACCACTAAAACAACCATAAGAAGTCCCATATAAAGTAATTAAACGCACACAAAAATACTTCATCATCAACAAAGATGGCGACAAGCAGACCATTTCTATAGACAGAATAAAATCTGCTTTCTATGAAGCTACTCAAGTCCAAGAAGACAACGCCGTTGACAAACAACCCCTCCCACTAGTGACCGAAAAACCAGTGGAGAATAAATAGCTTAATACTAAGCCTTCTTGTTTAACACGCTCCGGCAGACCTATAAACAAACCCAAACGTTATGTCCATTTCGTCCATTAAAAAAAACAAAAATAAAAACAAAGCACACACCTGCCGATGTCATACACTACTAATTTCACCCAAAAAAATTTTTTTCTTTTCACAGTGTACATAATCACATTTTTCCACAATTATTCGTTTTGTCACATTTATTTTTTTTATAAAAAAATTTTTGTTACTATAATAAACGAGTAAACTCTATTTAATTACTCATTTATTGTACACAAAAATAAACAGTTCAATTTTTTTGGGTCATTATCAGTTTTGCACATTATTATTATCATTGTTAGCCAACCAAGACATTAAGTGACAGTGTCTTCATTTTTGTGTGTGTGTGTTTATTATGCTATGCTACATCTCTGCTACATGCCATACTCATCTCTACATTTTTGTTAGCTATAACTGTAAATATTATTTTTGTATACATGTATATATCATATCCTTACATATTTTTGTTATTATAACCAGTGTTACCTCCGGACACTCTGGGGGGAGCTATGTGGAGATAAGCCTGACAAGCTTATTTTGTAAATAGTTTTCAATGTTATTCGTATTCATTTTGTCAACCTTCCACTGTATGTATATTTAACATTGAATGACTGTAACTGTTGTTTTAGTAAATAACCTTGAACACATTTTCCTGTTGTGATTATGACATAGCGTGACATACCGTTGCTGGCTAGCAAATACAATGCTTCTCACACATTCGTCGTTCTATTTTCATTCGAGATTGAGTTAACTGAGATCTAAAACAAATATTATTTATATTCATAGACTGTGAGTGCGAATACCACATACCTTGCTTTGGATTACACCACTGGAGAGTTCGTCGACACGTTTAAAAATTACCCAGTATTTATAATTGTAGATTTAATGTACCAGACTAAAACTGAACACGCATCATTTTGGGCGAACTTAAGTAAAGTCCTGTTTTTATTGTATTTGTAACATTTAACTGGTATATATTAATATTACTATTGACTTTTATTAACTTTGTTGATACTTTTTGCGTTTATATATCGTCTGGTCCACCACAAGCTACTGTAAACTGGCGTATCTGTTTGAAGTCGCATCTTGTATTAACCGTATGGTTAAAACTTTCTGGTAGGTGGAATGACCGTTCAGTGGTATTACTCCAAGTGCATCCGACCGCTTTTCATGGTCAAGGATACCTTGAGTGTAAGTTAATGCGTTTGATTGCTGGGATAAGTAGCTAACATGTCACTGGAAGCTGACTGGATGGTTTCATGGAAAAAGTGTAAAATTTTAATGCAGATGACGAGTGGATAAACTCTAAAAACACAATCAATAAACTCGCCAAGCAAAAATACTATGACAACAAGGCTAAAGATAACATATCAAGTCGAGCTTACCAATAAAGATGCCACAAGTATTCGAAGATTGACAACGCTTTTACACGTATCACCTTAATAATCAAAGGATAACAACCCAGTCAAATCAGAAGTCGGAAATGATGGTGTTTGAAGACATATTCGGAAATCTATCATTACGTTAGGGAGAGTTTGGTCTAAGCTGGCTAGGTACGCATAGTATGTATTACCCACTCGTGATCTAGTGAGGATGCGTGAGCAGATGCGTTCGACTAGAGTGTGTCTGATAAAATTAGTGAATTGAACATTAATTTCAAGCACGCACGGAACCTTTTCTTTTGAAAGTTTATTTATCGTCACTAATTCTACCCAGACCAAGCCATTAAGTAATGTATTGCAAATTTTTAAATATAGTGGAAAGTGGAATTTTCCAGCATAATTCAACCTAATATATTGTGCCTGAAGCTTTCAGAAGTTTAACTAATTGTTTTCTCTTTGGTTTGTGGTGATATTCAGCTTCGTATCCTCCTCTATAGAACATCAGACAAATTCTACATGCTATTGTCCGATGAACTACCCGCTAATGGGTTCTTTATCATACAGATTTTTTAAAATACAAGTGTACTCTAGTGGTTTCGGAGAAATTGATGAATTGGATGTATGTTGTTTCTGCTTAGTGACGACTCCTATGTACATTATTCGACGCCTAATTCGAAAACACAATATAAAATACGTGGAATCGTGAACATAATGTTCTGTCTGACTTCAGCCAGACAGCTCCGGAAGTTTCCAGTTAGCGTGGCTACCAACCGCTGTATCGCATAAATACCCGACAGAACCAGAGTTCTGGAGTAATAATTCCGAGTTCGGACCTGCAATCATAATGAAATACTCGAACATAATCCGAATCATTAACCTTAGTGAACATCTGCATGAAAGTATTGTCCTTTATTTTTATCGATTTCGTTTATTTAACAACCGCACCTGGGAAGTATCTTATATGCAAATCAATGTTGTAAATCAACGATCATGCTTGTAAAAATGTCGTGTACCCGCCTGGTCAGAAATATATCATAGTCAATTCGATTAATTATTAATACGACGGGATGACACAGTGGTTAGATGTGAACGTAAAAGAGTCGTCGTCTGTTAACTAAATACGATTCTATTGGAATTGATTTAATGAATAATTATTATGCCATATTACTTGCTACATTGATTCAAGCTGGATTATACGAGGCTCTGATTCGTGCAGTTTCCGATTCAAATCAAGTAACATCTACTCGTGCTGGTTATCTTCTTGGTTTGTTGGCTTACAAAGTTGAAAGTTGAATAGTGGGACGAATAATTGAATACTTTTGTCTCTGATTGTAGTGGCTTTTAAGGATATGATATAAAACATTTCTAAAAAACAAACGACCGAAAATGAATGAAGCTTGAGTCGCTTTGAAACTAGTGCGATCTGGAACCACGGAATATACGGATGACTGGAGGCACACTAATGGCTAATCACGCTGCAATAGGAACATCACTCTCTTTTCTGTAAGAGCTCTTCTATGGGTCCTTCTAATATGGATTCTGAAAAATTCTCAAGCTTGTAAGTTTTTGATAGTTCATGAAAGATAGAAACTAAAAGAAAACAGAATTATTATTATTATTAGACCTCATTTTGGCAATTTTATTCTGGAGGTTTGAATTTACTCAACAGGGGAAAGTAGGAAAACATACAATGATTTATTTTGCTGACATACCTCGTACAAACTGTCACCTTGGCGAGTGCACATCTCGCCAAAATTCACAATCGTGCGTTAAGATTTTGATGATACTAAATATTTGTTCAACGCAATTTTCTGATAACTTTCTGTTTTAATGTAACGGATGGAAGGCGCTTTATATAAAGTGTGACCTTAACAAATAGGTTGCCAATCAAAGTATAGGCATTAAGGAGGGTATAATGCATGAGAGTTGTTTATTAAAGTAGGCGGAAAAGTATAGGAATATATGAGTTATAGGTAAGGTAACGAGTGGTGAACTGAAACTAAGAGCAAGTAAACATAGTGCACAGGAAAGTGGAAAGCCGATGAAAAAAGGCAAGAAGGAACTCAGAATAACTTGTGGTTGATGTTGTTTTGTGCTACCCTAACCGGTCGATGGATAACAGGCTACATAGATGAAGGACCACTGGTAGTAGGCGGTTGATTGTGCAGTCCCCTTGACTTTCAGGGTAGTGGTGGGCGTCCCTTGGCGACTAACTCTAGTTGAGCAGCGTCGATAGATCCAGTGATTTACCTGCCCACTTCAA